TTAACCCTATGATATGAATCTTTTAATTTTTCATCATCATTGTAGCATGGATATCTTTTAAGATGTTATAAAAAATGACATAATGCCTCTGTATTACCCCAAAGTAAAACGCAGTCAGACCTCTCACTATTGGACACTCACAGGACCAAGGCTTTTGTTCATTTTTTAGGGAGTGTGCTAGTCTTTTACTTTGAAGTCGCGCTTTCGAGACATGAAAAACGCAATTTGAATCTTGTCAATCGGCCCAGTAGAACGAAAAATATAAAACTATCCCCTTTTTTATTTTTATTTATTATTATTATTATTATTATTATTATTATTATTTTTCGCAGTGTTCATTTCGTGTCTCAAATCATCCTTACATTATTATCCCACTTTTGTACTTTTTCCAATGGAAATAATCGGTCTGATGTATACCTCCTTTAATTTTACACACAGTCAATCAGACTCTTATCTCTTGCGGTGCTCATGGCAGAAATTACAAGATATAAACTTATTTATGATGCATTTCAGGCAACTACATTCTCTATACCTGTGGCATCAACAACAACTAAAATAATAGCAACTAATATAATAAAAATCGTGATGGAACTAAAATACTATGACACTCTGAGATAACAAAAAAGAGCTTAAGAATTTTTCGTAGCTCAAAAATGCCAAAGCAGATGCAAAAAGGATACAGCTGCAAAGCCATCATGCTTGGAGGCATCATGCTTGGTAGTCGTACAGACCTTCACATCTTCGACGCAGGTTCAGTCAACGGGACCCGTTATTGTACGAGATTCTTCTTCCATATGTGCGTCTTTTAGAGCTATGGGTCCGCAGTTCCTTTCATGGACGACAATGCACATGTCATCGCACAGTAGCTGCCGACAGCTCTTAGGAGCGAGGATATTGAACGTATAGATTTGCCGGCACGATCTCCGGATCTCAATCCCATCGAGCATATATGGGATTTTCTAGGCAGAAGCTTGGCAGCTCGTACCTTACCACCAGTAACGATTCCGGAGCTTCGATTGGCGCTGCAAGAAGAATGGGTAGCAGTGCCTCAACAACTCATTGACACCCTCATTCTCAGCATGGGCAGACGCTGTGAAACCTGCCTAGCAGTCAGGGGAGATCATATCCCCTATTAAAGACGGGATGTTTCTTGCTGGACACCCATCATAGGGATGTTTCGGCTTTCAGTCGCTTGCGCTCCATGCTACTTTTTCAATAAAGCTTCTTTTTATCCCTCTGATTTCTCTTTTAGTAAGTGTGCTTACATACTCATGTCCTTACGTAGGGGATCTTACGGTATTAAATGTGTTTATTTGGAAAGCTTTTGTACAAAGTTATGTTGAAAAAACCGTCTCGTCCTTAATTTTTGCACACCAGTGTAGGTCAATTAATTATTGCAAAATTTTGTTATTTTATTTGGAGATAAATAGGGGTTAAAAAATTTCTTGATTCTAATACGTAAACCGCCATCATTCAGGATGTTGATATTATGAATATAAGATGAATATTTTAGGTATGGATCTTATTTTAGACATTAATATATCCAATGGATGTCCATCATGGTGCATATTATCTAATATTTACTTGGAGTAAGTTTGTGTACGTAATGAATATCTACGGCTGTCTGAGAACAATAAAACTGCTGCTCACTTTCCTTTTTATAATACAGACGAGGAACTAATTCGAAATTTTCTTGAATCTAAATTGGAATCTTAGAAGATATCTCGAATCTCTTGAATTTTTCATATACTAATAAGGAATACAAAGAAGAGGGGAGAAGGATTTCCTTAATATTCAAAGTTTAACAAGAGCAAAATTTCAAATACAAGGCTAATGACAAACATATTTAAAAATACAGTTAAAACAGTGCATATACTGCGAATGAAGTTTAATAAATGAAATTAAAACATTTGAGTTTAGGTTCTTCACTTTTTCAGCATAATTCGGCAAGGAAATAATGGAGTAATGGTTCAAACCTTTTTATATATTCCAGAACCATTTTACACCAAAGCGAACATAGAAGAGGTAAAGTTGTTTCAAAACATTAAAACATTATCATATGTTTAAATAATCATTAAAACATTATTATATGTTTTAATGATGGTGTACAAAGACGTCTTCATATTTTTAATGTCGCACCGACAGCACACACACAATTGGAACATATAGGTTCACTCTCGGTTTTTGCCGTCTTCATATTTTTAATGTCTTCATATTGTTTCATGAAAATAAACACAAAACACGAAACGTAAAATCCTTTCTAAAAATTAGCAGTGTGCTTTGAAGACCTCTAAAAGGTGATATTGGTAATTCAAGTCAACTGATATTACAACAATCTCGTTTCTCTTTTTAAACAGCACTTTTACTAGACGCCAATATAACTGAAATTTAACTTAAAACTTTATAACGATTTTTTAGGTTTAGCCGAGAATGACGAAAGATGCGTGAAGATTTGTGTTTTTTGATCTGGAATCTTCAAGAATCCTGGGCTTCAAAGATTCGAAAATCCCATCTGTAGCATGGTTTTGAAATTTTTTAAGCTGAAGCATTCATTACCCAATTTCCGTTCCTTATTTACAAATATTACCCTCATATTCAAGTTATAAATTAGACAAATAAGAAAAAAATCATATACATGTAACAGTAAAATACAGAACAAAACATTAAAAAAAAATAAATTATCGTTTTTTTATATTTCTAATTCATGTATTTGTTAATGTAATTCGAACTTACTCACCACGTAAGCTTTATAATAGATTTAGTCCATAATTAGTAACCATCTCGAATGAAATTTAAAATATTGATACATATAAAACGGTCCGAAAAAATGACCAAATGTTTTAAATCAGTGTGAGATAAACCATGTGATGTTTACTTCACACTCATCTTATATATCCCTTCTCCGTAATAAATAAGGAAAATCATATGTACTAGTTATTGTTTTCTCCACTTCAGTTATGCGCATTTCATCTGTATGTCTCTTTATTAACTTCCTAGCATTTTTAGCTGTGAATTTCGATTTTTTATAGTGCATATATTTCTTTATTTCTTTTAATGCAGCATAAAGCACTGAAAAAACATAGAAAATGAATATGAGTATATAAATAAAAGAAAATTCCCAAATTTATGGCTTTGGAATATAACTGACCTGAGTTGCAAACTGACAAAATACAAATATTTTTATATTTGTATAAAATAAATAAAAGTTTTTAAAGGGGAAGATTAAATAATTAAAACTTTTAGAGGATTTCCATGCTCTTCAATTCATACAGAATAATAATTACGTCTTCGGAAAGTATTCTTCTAAAATTCTATAACAAAAATATTTCATCACTGGGAATAATCATTTATGAGGTAATTGTGCTGTGGAATGGTGATTCAGATTGAATATTCGTCACGGAGATGAAAGTGGATCCTTAAAAATATTTCGAGAACTCCTAGCATATCATGATTCTGGTAAGATTTCTTTCTGGAATATTTACATTCTTATAAAATTATTAGCTATTCTTTCTGTTTCTACTGCTACTGCAGAAAGAAAGATTTGAGTTAAATATCTTCTTGTGTAAATTCTGTTAATTTCAAATGTCTGTCTGTAAAATTTGAAACAATAGCCAAACCACATTGTATGAATTTACATTTGAAAATATAAACATAGTTCAGGATTAAAGTTATTTTAGACTTTAGCAATCAACTTGAATGCAATTTAAAAAAATACTGTTGCAATGTTGTTTACTGGCAATGTGCGTTTAATGAAAAGTAGCTGCATATAATGTAACATAAATAAAGCTTGAATTTGATTATTTACACTTAATCTGATTAAGACTTTATGACTTGATTATAAAGACTTTGGTTCGAAGGACAGACTGCTATGTTCGCAAGGCGGAAGTTGGCGCGAATAATTTCTAAGGCTATAGGACGAAAGAAATTCTTAAAACTGAGCAAATCACTGCAGAAAATTCGCTTTTGGAAACTAAAAACGTTTTGTTTGTTTATTTTATTTCGTCTACTGGAATTTAGCTGTTAATATAAACACAACAGCTTTCTTTCCGAAGGCGTGGAACTCATTATATAGCATTCTTTTGTGAAATCCTCTTAAAATTCCCCCAAATGCATTGTACAGTTTTTTTTTTTTTTTTTTTTGATATACTAAGAAAGCGCTTTCGACAAAACGCAATTAAATTATTCGAAATAAAACAATACACAAAATAGTGCTTTCCTAATTTAGAAATAAATAATGTCAACAAAGTTGTCTGTTAAATCAATATGAATGAGAAATTGAAAACGTACAAGTCTAACTACTGTATTAGCGATACAGCACTGTTCTGGTGATTTCATGCAAATTTAAACTTCCGTCGAAAAGCTAGATATTCTTGATCAAATCTGTTATAGAGTTCGTCATTGGCGATCAAAAATCCTATACTTAACAATTTATTTTACATTTTCTATAAAATATGTATTTCTTTATAACTAGAGCCATATAAATATGGTTCCTTGAGAAAAATTAAGAGCTCAACGCTGGATGATCTTCCCCGTCAATTCATAACCATACCACTATTATGCTACTGAACTTATCACTCGGTGATTTCTGTTTTCGACTTCCTTATACGAATTTGGAAATCTGTGATATTTTTCACATGGTAAACGTAAGTTACCTTTAATTTTTTTTTAAAATTATTTGTAGATGTTTATCTTGCCTGTAAGAGTTTTTATTTATCTCAATATAGTTTCAAGTTGTTTTGTGCTACAACGTAATTATTTAAAAATATCTTCAGAATCCGTAATAAACAATAATACCCACTTATAAATACGTATTCAACAACATAAAAACCTGCCTCTTTTTACTTTTTAATGACTATTTTAAAGTAATTTGTTAAATAAAAGAATATTATGTAAAAGTATCAGTTCCCACAAAATTTTACTCATATGTGATTTTATTTTGTAAAGCTAAGTTTAATTTGAATTTATTGACAACGAAAGGAAAACAGATATATATAACTTACCAACTTGACATAGCCTTCAGCATCTAATAGCAAGTTTTCTGGTTTCAGGTCCCTATATATTATGTTTCTGTTGTGTAGATATTCAAGGGCTTCCGTCACACAACCTGTTATAAACCGCGTAGTTGCGTCGTCGAAAGAACCCCTAAGAAAAAGATACATGCATACTATTCCATTACTGACATACCAAGGTATTTAAAAGTGCTTGTTGCCAAATTTATTTACTTAAATATCGATTCTAGACATTTATTTCCAACCACAAAGTTTTCCAAAATATGGTAAAGAATTTTATCAAAATAGTTAACATTACGGATGGGAAGATCGCGTAAAGATAAAATCTGTAAATAAAAAATAGTTGTAACTCTACCATTTCATGGCAAATATCTACCACATGGCGTGAATATTTTGAGCAGATGGCAATCAATAAAGTGAAGGTGAACAATAAGCGGCAGCAAATGTGTCTTCTTCAATTGTATTGTCAAAAGGTTTAAAGTGCTGAGTAAAACAGCAAATGGTGTACAAAGCAGGGCAGGGCTATTGGATAAAAATCGAATTTACATAGAGTCGTAGAACCCTTGATTATCAGGTCCTGCAAAAAGCACGTTGTAATACGGCTTTGCCATATCGTACAGTAGCAGGGTAGATGAAAATGTTCCGTGAAGAAAGGACTGCCATTCAGGATCGATGTCATTCCAGACTAACCCACGTTTAAATCACACAATTTAGCTTCTTGTTTCATTATTAGATGCTGATCTTCGACAAAACGATAAAATTTCCGAAGTGTCGTAATATTTAATAATGTCATTTTGGATTCACAAACCGAAGTACCGTTTGCTTATTTTTGTCTTAGTTGATTCAGCAGTGAAATTAATTTTTTTACTGATATGACACATGTTTTAAATACTTTAGTCAATCATTTGCCAGATGAAATGATAATCCAGTGAACGGAGGCAGCCTGGATCGCCACGTTTACAAAATGTGGGTGCTGTACTGCATGTTTTAAAGGTTATATTCATTATGACGTATAATATTTATGGAATGATGCTGCATAACACTGCTTCGCATGAAGATGATCTTCGTACTGAAATGTATGACATGCATGGAGTGATCCGGCATCACGAGAACAAGCTGCTGACGCTACTGGTATTTTCCACAACAGCATCTACGTCCAGGATTCAAACAAAGAAAGGGACGAAACTTCTTAGTGACGAATTTCATTATCCTTTATCACAATGTGTAATCTGTAATGTGTAGTGTCATAATAAATGTGTAGTGTCATAATGTCTCTCTCCGTATACTCCCGTTAAGAATCCGTGTGACTATGATTTCTCCTATACGTTGAAACTATATTTTGGAAATTTGGAAAATCCCCATATAGCGCTGTATAGCCAAATGTTATTATCCTTTGTAGATTTTAAACATTTTTCATGTTATTATCAACCGCTAATATATTTACTATTTTTTATTATAAGCATGTTATAGTTTTACTATTATCTGTCAATATTAGCAGCTAACGTTTTACTATTACTCATTTCTGATGAGTAGATTCATGTACACTGCGAAAAAAATGGGGACAATTCCATATCTCCCGTTCTACTAGGCCGATTAGTGAAATTCAAATTGCATTTTTCATGTCTCTTAGGCGCGACTTGTAATATATATTACATTTCTATATAACATCATTCTAATATAGATATTTTGACACAAAATCGGACTTTTTCTGAAATCACAACATTTTTTTTTTCCATATTTCGATTCTATGACTCAATTATGCCCGACTATACCAAGTTTTGTAAATCGCACGAGTACTTTTTAAAAAATTAGCTCTCAAAATTTTAACTCCTCAATGCTAATTGAATTTGGTACATATTTAATAGTATTTCATTTTTTATTAAACCTTTTCGATTCTTCCTTTCCCATTTCGAAATTTAGGTTCATTCGAAATAAAATTCACCCATTTTTTATGATTTATTTTTAAATTTCTATTTTTAAAAATTTTATAAATTTTTCGAAAAATATTTTGAATTATAACCTATAAAATTTTACCATCATTTAAAGTAGGTTGTATTCTAAGCATACCTGCAAAAATTAGACTTTTTTATACAAGAATTTACATATTGCGCAGTTTGAAATTTACATTTTTTTTTTTTTTTTTTTTTTTTTGAGCGATAATAACCGCCAAATGTGTTTTATGGATTTCATTACAGTGCATTGCCACAGCTATTTTTAACCTTAAATTTCAAATAAATATTTACGGAGAATAAATTATATGAAATTTTTTCCATCAATGATGCGTAATAAATATTTATTTATACTACATGAAAAGCTATTTTTTAAATTATAGATGATATTACTCAAATTTATAACTTTTAAAATTTTTCTTTTCCCCTTTTTGGGGGGGGGTAAAAGTAAATAAATTTTACCTTCGCCGTGTTATTCGTCTCCTACTTTACTTTGACTGCATTTAAATTGAATTGCCTAAAACTGAGATAGTTCGTTTGATGTTTATTTTCACAATGGTTTTAAGCAACCAGGATGTTGATAGTTTGGGTCATGTGCCAGCTGTAAAAATTATATACACTAAGTATAAATTTTTACATTAAACCTCTTAGAAAGAATGTTTTAAGTAGATAATTTTCTCTCGTGTTGTAGATTATATAAAAACATCTACTTTAATATAGAAATTTTTAGGGTAAAAAACTCTAAATAATATGATTAAGATTTTTTGCACCCGATTTAAGAATTCGGTTACTCGGTGGTAAGAGCTGCTGGAGACTTTTATTTCTTTCTCATTTAACAAAAATCTTTTAATTCAAATATTTATCCTTTGGACTTTGCTTTAAACTTTATAGTTAAAATGTCTAGAAAATGAAAAGTTGTCTTCAGTTGAAACGCATTTGATGCAACTGATATTTTAAAAAATTTGACAAGAATGCAAAATTTATGAAAGAGTAACAATGTAAAAATCTTAATTTTGTGTCAGCACTGAAAACAAATGTAGAAGTAAAGAAAACAATTAGAGGAAAAAAAAGCAAAAATTTAAAGAGGAATCTACTTCTAGGAAGTTGGGTGTTCAAAGAGAAAACACTTGGACGTGTACACCAGCAAACAGCAGTAACTGAGTTTGTGCTAACGGAAAAGGCAAAAACGATATCATTGCAGATTAAAGTGAAGAGTGACTGACTTACGACTATATGGTTGTATAAATTTAAATTACGCCATAGAACATCATATCGTATTATAAACGAAGCATCCCATGATTTCTCAGTCGAATTATTCAAAGATTCCGGAATTTATCCAGTAACGTATATAGATATCAGCTAAAGACGTTTTCCCCCTTGATGAAACCAGTCTTTCCTTTCATCTCCCGCCTTCAAAATGCTTAGCCTGTAAAGACCGATAAAGTCTCTGATACTTTATCTGTCTCAGTACCGATGAAATTGATTGATTGGGATTATTAAATAACGAAGCTGGGATATCTGCTTTAAAGGAGGAGATGCCTTCGTGAAGAACTTTCTAAGCGAAACCAGCTCGTATACATGTTACACACGAGAAAAACACGAAAAAGTCCATTCAACCTGCCCATTCGCCGGGATTTGAGCTCCGGAGCGAACTACCAGTATTCAGCGACTTTACCGCTCGGCTGTTTGTGGGCCTTTTGAAATGGAAGGCGATAAATTTATTTAAAATTAATGTCATAAATACCAAGATATTAAGAAAAGTTGGGTGCTTTTTAATATACTTGCAGAATGCCTGATAAAAAAAGAGCAAGCCATTAAGAAGAAAAAATAAATTTTTTTAAATTTTATGATATTTGATTCTTGCGATTTCCAAAATAAAATATTTGACTAAAATATAAATAACATTTTAAGAAATTAAACATAGGATGATAAAATTGTGTAAAGCAATGATACAATGATAAAACCGTTTAAAGCAATGTATGCAAGTCATCCTAAATTAAAATGTCGGATATATATATTTTTCCTGAACGGAACACTGAAAGGCGTGTTAACTGAGCTTTACCTTTATTTTCTCTTTAAATATATGCAGTTTTCAAACACATCGTAGTCTGGGTCAAAAAGTATTCAACCGAAAGAAATACGATTCAAATAAATAAGATCAAATTCTGGAAAATTTATATTAAAAAGTATATATTTAAAATGCGCACTTCGAAGGAATGAATAGAAAATTTTAAAACACTTACCTGAAGAGACAATACAACACAAAAAATTTAAAGTCTAAAAATTCAAAAATTACCTAAAATAATAACTACATGACTAAAAATATAGAAAACTATTTGAAAAAAAATAATAAATGATGCATCTTTTGTTTAAACTACGCAGTTCGAATGAGTAAACAGAAATTTTTAAAAAGTTATTTGAAAAAGAAACCATGCAACTTAAACATTAAAATGAATTCGAAAAAAAAAATTAAATATAATAACATAAAAATGAAGTATAAAGAAAATATAGCATAAAGAAAACTATTTGAAAAAAAAATAAATATGCATCTTTTGTTTAAACTACGCAGTTCGAATGAATAAATAAAATTTTTAAAACAGTTATTTGAAAAACCATGCAACTTAAACATTAAAATGAAATTCGAAAAAAAATTAAACTAATAACATAAAATATTAATATAAGGAACATTATTTGAAAGAAAGAAACGTTATGATTTTTGCCGCTCAAGCACAATGTAAATAGGAAAAGAAATACTTGCCAATATTAGAAGTTCGCCAATGCCTATTCTTTGGCGCAACTGAAAAAAAAATGCGCCAATATAATTCTTGAATTTCTTCCCTAAATTTTCGCACCCAATTTTACAAAAATTTATTTTAGGGCATAATTTGAATCGAAATATGTAAAAATCGGTATGTTATTTCAGAAAAAGTCCGATTTTTTCAAAAAATACCTATGTTAGAATAGTGCTATATAAATCTAATATATATCCTAAGTCGCGCTTTCGAGACAGGAAAAACGCAATTTGAATTTTGTCAATCGGCCCAGTAGAACGAGAGGCATATAAACATTCTGTCTCGCGCCACGCGCATAGGGAAAAATCCGTGCTTGTGATTGGACATACTTTCCGATGATATCATTTTCTCTTAGCGAATGGCGTTCAGTCAATTGTGTGCTAGTAAGTATA